TTATACCCTCCACCTTGGAAAGGAGGGCATATTAACTTTGTCATTCCGTTTGTAACATCCCTAAATATTCGTTTTAGACCCCATAAAGTATATATATTCATAATCAGCATAAAATTCTAAGTCGATTTAACGATGTCCGTCTGTCTGTCTGTCCGTCTGTCTGTCTGTCTGTTGAAATCACGATACAGCCCACATTATTTGACGTAGAGCTCCAAAATTTATCAGAGCTATTTGCATTGTGTCTAGGATGGTTGGTATTGAAAATGAGATATATCGGTCCACGTTCTGGTATAGTCCCCATATAACGGTACCTCCCGATATTCGGTATTTTGATGATTTTTGCCACATTTTTTCACGGATTTGTCTTAAAATTGGTATTTGTAGGTCATAGCTGGTCCTTGAGCATGTTGCAAAACATTGCATGTATAGGTCCACGTTGTGGTATAGCCCCCATATAAAGGTACCTCCCGATATTTAGTATTTTAGTTTTTTTTACCACATTTTTTCACCGATTTGTCTAAAAATTGGTATTTGTGGGTCATAATGGTTTCCAGCTCCGGTGGCGGAACATTGCATGTATGGGTCCATAATTTGGTATAGTCCCCATATAACGGTACCTCCCGATATTCGGTATTTTGATGATTTATGCCACATTTTTTCACGGATTTGTCTTAAAATTGGTATTTGTAGGTCATAGCGGGTCCCTGAGCGTGTGGCAAAACATTGCATGTATAGGTCCACGTTGTGGTATAGCCCCCATATAAAGGTACCTCCCGATATTTAGTATTTTAGTTTTTTTACCACATTTTTTCACGGATTTGTCTGAAAATCGGTATTTGTTGGTCATAATGGGTTCCAGCTCCGGTGGCGAAACATTGTAATTATAGGTCCACGTTTTGGTATAGCCCCCATATAACGGTACCTCCCGATATTCGGTAATTTGATGATTTTTGCCACATTTTTTCAGGGATTTGTTCGAAAATTGGTATTTGTTGGTCATAATTGGTTCCAGTTTCGGTGGCGAAACATTGCATGCATGGGTCCATGATTTGATATAGCCCCCATATAACGGTACCTCCCGATATTCGGTATTTTGATGGTTTTTGCCACATTTTTTCACTGATTTGTCTAAAAATTGGTATTTGTGGGTCATAATGTTTTCCGGTGGCGAAACATTGGTATTATAGGTCCACGTTTTGGTATAGCCCCCATATAACGGTACCTCCCCATAATCGGCATTTTAATGGTTTTTGCCACATTTCTTCTAATGTTTCTTTTACCCTAAGGTGGAGGGTATTAAAAGTTTGGCCCGGCCGAACTTAATGTTTTTTTTACTTGTTTATATTAAAGTATTATTTCTTTGTGCTTTGTTTGTAACATGGAAAAGGAAGCGAGTTAAACCCATAGTTACTTTTGAGAATATTCATAGAATAACTTTCTCAGTCGATTTATGCATGCCAGTCCGTCTGTCCATGTATTTTTGTGGACAAAATGCAGGTTGCATTTATTAGACGATTGAGACGAAATTTTCCAAATAATATTTGTTTGGCCCAAAGAAATTTAGATACAGCTCCATCTTTAACCGATTTCGATTTAATTGTGCAGCAAATAACCAATATCAGTCAAAATGACCTGAATTTTGGCACATCCGACAGAATTCAGTCTAGAAGCAAGTACATAAAATTTTGGTGAAAATCGGTTCAGCTATAGCTATAGCTCCCATATATATGTTTCATCCGAATTGGGGGTTTTAAGTCTCTCACATGCGTAATATGCACTCCACAAGAGTTGGTACCAGATATCAGATAGCGCCCAGAAACACCTCTGTAAAATTTTATCGAGATCGGATCAGAATAGGATATAGCTCCCATATATATATATATATTTATCCGATTTCAGGTGTTTTGTGCACCAAATGGCTAATATTAACCCAAATGGACTGAATTTTGGCACTTCCGACGGAATTCAGCCCGGAAGCAAGTACATAAAATTTCGGTGAAAATCGGTTCAGATATAGCTATGGCTACCATATATGCTTTATTCGATTTGGTGTTCAAGTTCCTCACATGCATAATATGCACTCCACAACAATGATATTTGGTACCAGATATCACATAGAGCACAGAAACTCCTCTGTAAAATTTTACCAGGTTCGGATATTGCTCCCATATATATCTTTATCCTATTTCAGGTTTATTCTGCTAATATCAGCCCAAATTGACTGAATTTTTACACTTCCGATGGAATTCAGCCCAGAAACAAGTACCTCAAATTTTGGTGAAAATCGGTGCGGATATAGCTATAGCTTCCACATATATGCTTCATACGATTTAGTGTTAAAGTCCCTCATATGCACTCCAGAACAAATATATTTGATACCGGACATACAAAAATACCTCTGACCAATTTTATCGAGATCAGTAAAAATTTTTATATATTTTCGCTATATATTTATCTGATTTTAGGTTATATCCACCATATATGTAATATCAGCCCAAATTGATTAGATTTTTTTCAAATTAAACCGAGTTTTTCCATGTGCTGTAGCTCGATTAGGTATATCTATTGCTCCAAAAAATATTTTCTTAATATAATTCTTATCGAAATCATGCACTAACAAGCAACGTTATTTGGTACTGGAGGTGCAAAAGCCTCCGCCAAATTAACAAAAATTCCCTATATAAACTTTTTTGTTATGGGATCTCTACTAAATACGCATAGTGGTGTAGGGTATCATTTAGTCGGCCCCGCCCGACTTATGACCTTTCCTTACTGGTCTATTCTCAAACTTAATCAACTATAAATGAAGAGTCAGATTACATCTTCATTATCTACACATCTCTCCTTGAGAGAGAGAGAGGATAGTATTTGTGTGTCGTACGTTATAAGTGCCAGCTTAGAGGTCTGCTTTAAATTTAGATATCAATATTAAACGCGAGCAACGAAGAATACCTCATAAGATTATATTTTTTTTAAAAAATGGAATACATCGCTTTACATTTGGCACAGACCACTCATAAGTGCAACTCGTGATTTAAAGGAAATACCTTGACTACACTATATTACAGAAAAACGCATTACATTATGAGAGTGGAGCTAAAAGTTTATGGCATATGTGTAGGCGATTTGAAAGTCTATACCGTAAAATAACCTAAATAGAGGGGTCAAGTTACACCCTCTTCCACATTTTTTACAATTTTCTGAATAAGATTTCCTGGAGCGAGTCATTGGAAAATATAAGCAAGACCATCGCAATGAATAGAATCAGGGGGTAGCTTTTAATGAGAACGTAAAAAATACTCAGAATTATGATGTACCCTTAGATAGGGACAAACAAAGCGTGGACAAACATGACCCAATATTTTTACACCAATAATTTTTGAAGTAATCCTAGGCTCTCAATTTTTTTCTAAACGTTGTATCCCTATATTCGAAACTATTTTGACTCATACGCATTTTAAGTTTGTTTTTCAAAATGCATTTATTAAGTGTAAAACTTCCTAAAAAAGGAGAAGAAATTAAATTTAGTGAAAAGTGAAACTTAGATGGAATGAAACTTTATAACCATCATATCTGATCTGACTCATCGCTTATATTATATCGTGTTCTACTGGGTTGCCCATATTCGACGGACCCATCTGGCAACGCCATAACTTTTGACAGAGATGTCACATCGCTTAATGACATACCGTGTTTGAAGCGTCAGTCCAAGCAGATTTTTACCATGAACCAATACACGCCACGTGAAATAGTTGAAATTTGCATTCAACAGAAGAAGTCAATTGTGAAAACTCAACGTGCTTTTAAAACATTAAAAAAATGTGAGAAGTGCGCCTTCTAAGAACACCATTAAGCGTTTATACGAAAAATTTTCGACTGGTAAGGCTCTTTCTAATCCGAAGAGGCCATATAAAAGTCGACCAAGGCGATCGGCCGAGAATATCGCTGCCGTACGAGCCAGTGTTGAGAAGTCCCCAAGAACATCTCAAAAACGCCGTTCTCAGCAGTTGGGCATGGCTCGGTCCACTTTACAACGGATTATTCGCATTGATTTGCATTTGTTCCCGTACAAAATTCAATTGACGCAAAGAATGTTGCCTGCGGACAAGCCTCGTCGATTGGAATGGGCCCAAAGGTCCGTCGAATATGGGCAACCCTGTATAAGCGGACGATCGGAGATATGTAGATCGACTCAAAGAGCCTTAACATGTATTGCTGTAAAGAGTTTTTTGTTTTTGAACAATTATTGATTAAACTATTATTAAATAAAGCATGGCTCTTCCAAAGGGTAGAAACTCGAATACGAATCAAGTGAATTTCAAAACTATTTTTGAAAAAATCATTCTTTGCAAAAATTCGATAAAAGCTATATTTCGTGGTGTCAGTTCTTCCAATGACAGTAACCGATTTTCAATCAGGCCTATAATCATTTTTCCCAAAAAAAAAAAACTTTTAAAAATTTCCCACCATCCGAACCAATTAAAAATTAAGGGAGTACAAAATCAAAACCATTGACTGCAGTTTTCGAGTACCCACAATTTGCAAGTATCTAGTATACAATAATAGTAACCTACAACTACAACAATGCTAAAAACAAAAACACAACACAATGCGAATATATTACGACATACTCTGCATACATACATACATCGTATGTACAAATGTTCGTTTGTATATAGCCGATAGAAGAGGAGGAGGAGGAAAACCAACAACATGCAGCTCCAAAGAATGTAATGTAAAATAGAAGAATATTTAGAGTATAGCAATGCACTTTTTTCGGGGGAATACCCACACACACACACACACATACAGACAGACATGCATACACAGACGTACACAGCATAACCAGCCAACGAGCCAACCAACAAAAAAGGCTATTGACCTCATCGGCATCGACATATATGAAGGGGGTCAAAGAAATGCAAATGCAAAAAAAAGGAAAATGGAAATTTTTTGGGGAACCCAAAAACAAAACGAAGGCTAACATCAAAAATTATTACCTGGAGATGAAAATGAAGGAGTCTCTCACTCTTAGTACGTATCCGTTGAGACGATGATTGGTGATGTTGGTAAGCGATAGTTGCAATAGCGAAAAGAAGAAAATGTTCTTCGGATGATGCTTTCAAACACTAATCCATGATGAAATGGAATTTATAACGTTGGATGTTGGATTTTCACTTTTTTCCTTTATGAATGTGGTTTATAATTTTTTGAACTTTTTTTTTTGCTTGGTATGAATGTTGAATGATTGACGTTACGTTTCTTTTTTTAATTTTAGTTTGAATATGAAATGTGGGTTTTATGAGCCTCGTTGTTGTATTTCGGTGGTCAATAAACGCATTGCTTGTTAGTTTTATTTCACTTCTTTTCTTGGAAACCCGAATTGTTTAGCTTTTGGATTTTTCACAATTAGCACTTAAACTATATATATATATTTTTTTGTAATATTCTTGTCATATAAATTTTTGTATCATTCCATTTCTTTTTTCATTACTTTTATAAAGCCATTACATTTTGATTTCTTTTCATTTTTTATCATTCTTTTTTTCTGGTCATTGGTTTATCTGTGGAGTAGAAAAAAGAAATATTTTTTCAATAAATTGGTTTTGTTCTAAACGTGGAACTTGAAATTGTTTAATGGGTAAATGAAGTATCCATCGATTTTTTTCGAATTCTTCTTGTCTTTTCGGGCGACTGGTGTTATTTTCTGGCTCAAATAACGTCTTCTTATAACAGTTTTCTTGTGTAAATCATTTTTTTCTGACTCTACTTTTCCACATTGTTTCGTCTTGTTCGTCTTTGCTACAAAAATATGTATTTTGTCATTTCACTTTACACACACATTCGGCAGAGGCGACGATGACAACGACAACAACGTTGGGGATGAGAGTGATGATTGTGAAGTGAAAAAAGCACACACAGGATCTGGGCTGACGATTTAGCAGAAGAATTCACATCTTATCAATTAGATTTTTAGAACATTTTATCCATTTTAACATCTTTTCGTTTCTCTTTCTGTTGTTTTCCCATTATTATTTTCCTTTGGACATCTACAAAATATTTTTTAACAATTTTTCTTTTTTCTTTATTACAAACGGATATCAACTCAACCCAACCATTATTATTCCCTATGATAAACTGAAGAAAAGGAGGCCAACTTTTGACAAACAACAAAATTTTTATTGCTGGCAATGCCTTATCTCATAACTGTTGTCTGTTCTCCGCTTTCTTTTTGTCATTTGCCCTCAATGAGAGGAAGTGAGACAACTAACTCCACTTTGTTTGAATTTGAAGAATTTCAGTATAATAAAATATCCCGTTTTCATACTACAAATGCACTGAGCACATAGTTTTTGCTGTTCTTTCTCTCGCTCTTTTTTGTGATGTGCTCCCATTTTTTTATCTCTCACACACATTAACTACATAACAGTGATGCCAATGTGGCGTTTTTTTTTTTTAATTTTAATCAGGAAGGCATTTAATTTAGTCATGACCTGATCCAAGGCACACATTCAAAGATGTATTAAATTGCAGGAATACCAGAATTACTAGTAATTAGGCGCTATTTGGAATTTGGTGGAAAATATATTTTAATTTTTTTCGGATAATTGAATTTAGAATTTTGCATCACATATAAAAGTTTAATTTGAAAGAATTACTTGGTCGCTTTGAAGATATGGACGGTGTGTATTTGGGGAATACGGGAGTTTAAAACAGTTTACCATAGTGGGGAAGATGAATATTTTTGTACGTAGTGTAGGGCGTTATTTGGGAATGTAAGTGTTATCTTTGACCAAATACAAAATTAAAAAAAATCGTAGAAAATGCCAATAAATATTGGTTATCCCTATGAAGAAGAGAATTAGAAGTAAATTTACCGCCATGTGATCGTCCACTTCTATTGTATTTAAAATTTTTGGGTAAGAATACCGTTCAGAAGCATATAATTCTGTTTGTAAGAAACCATCTGGCATTTGAAATCCGAAACAATTGTCGATCTAGCTACGGAACAATGTCAATCAATATTTTACTATGACAGACAACATGAACCAATTAAATTCTCTGTGCAAAACTATATATTTCTTCTCCAATTCACAAACATTTTTTGACGTTAATTCTCTAGTGATTTTTAACTTAATGTTATGCTTGACATCTCTGTCGGGCACACACAACTTTACTAAGAGAGAGAGAAAAGATTCTTATTCGAAGTGTCGGTAACGTAGTGCAGAAATATCCATTAACAAATGAATAAACGCATCAACCACCACCAACAAGCACCACAAGCATGCACGGACACACGCCGCACACATAGAACAAAATAGGCACACTAACAATACGAAAGTTTACTCTACTCTAAATCAGTATGAATTTGGAACAACTTTACGCTTCGGGGTAAAAACGACGAAGGCACTCTGTGATAATTACAATGGTCATGATGAAGTTTATATAGATGATGATGACTGAGCTGAGCCGAAGAATTCAACAACAAGAGGAAAAACAGAACCCTCATCCAACTAAGAGTCATTAGTCGCCGTGTAAAGAGAGTGAGAGTAAGAGAGCGACATAGTTTTCATTTCTTGATTCTTGATTCTTGTTTTTTTTTTTTTTTTTGAAGCACAATATCACAGGAAGTTAATTCACTTTTTAGTTAACAGAAAATATTAAAAAAGAAACAAAAATACCAGAGCTGCAGCTACTGCTGTTGGGCAGTAAACAGAATAAAAGAATAACAGTAAATAGGATTTTTCTATCCATTCCAACCAAATTCCAGTTTCACTGAAGTGCAATTCTTGGGTTTTTTTTTCGTTTGTCTTTGCTTTGCTAGCTAGCTTGCCCCAAAAAGTATGCACCAACAAAAACCCTTTATTTTCACTCTGGCCAGTTGCCTACACTCCCTCTCTCGTAGAGCAACGAGTCGCACACTTTCAGGCAAACTCATATCAATCAATGTATGCGTATCTTCTTTTGGGCACATACATATGTATATAAATGCTTATATATAGAGATGGAACTGCACTTTACTAGTATGTATGTATATAGAATTGTACGAATTTTTTATACATCGTTTTTCAGCACCAGTAGAAAAATTTTCATTCATCATCACTCGAAAAAGGAATAAAATCTAATCGATTATTAACACACAATACACCAGGTCCATAGCCATGAGCAAAAAGAAACGTTAAAATTTTCATTTTTTTTTTTTTAAATCAGGACGTTTGGGTTAGAAAAAATTTATTTAATTTTTAGGATTTCTTTAACATTTTTAGATTTTATTATCATTTTTTTTTTTTACTTTCCGAGGGTTTTCTTTGGTAATTTTTTAAGCATTTTTTCTTCATTTGGTGAATACGCACACACACATTGTTACGCACTCCTCCAGCAGTACTCACTCCAATTTCTAGCACAGTGCACAATCACAAACACACCCGTGTCAGAGTTATTCACACACAAAATTTCACACACTCTTTCACCCGTTTTTTACACACTCACATATTAAGTGGTTTATGTTGTTGTTGTAGCTGCTGCTGCTGTTGTTGTATGGTTAGTTGGTTGTATATAAAATTTTAACAATTTCCCAATAATGTAATGGTGCCACGCGCGTGTTGCATTGCAACCGCGAAGCAAGCAATCGATTCGAGGCGAAACAGTATAATGCGAATACAAATTTTGCAAAGCAGTCTATTAGGCGCATTCAGTTAGGCCGTTTGGATGACACACTCTCTCACGGGTTTCTTTTGTTGTGAGAGAGAATGTTTGTTCTCTTAAATGTGTCAGTAGATTTCTCTTTTGTATGTATTTACCGGTCTTTTTGCTTAATGAATGGAGGGATATCAAAGCTTTGCAGTGGCCAAATGCTTTAAGAAAATTAGTAAAGACAATCACCTTAAAAACAGTGGCGTCTTAAGCTAATGAAAATATGGACGCCGAAAGCTTTCTATATCGGTTGCTAACAGATGTCGCAACAACAATTTGTGTGCGCCAAGTGTGTTTTGCATGGCGAATCCACTCGATTTGCCACTAACACTTGGGTCGTCTCTATCTTCTGATTTACATTGTTTCGATAATAAACGGCGAGAGTCCTTATGTATTGATCTATACAGGGTGAGATAAAAAACTGCAATAAAGTCAAACGCCATAATTTTTATTTTTTTTTTTTAATTTTTATTAAATGAAAGCAAAAAATGTTGGAAATAGCATCAAATTTTAGAATAAGTTTAGATTTGTTCGAATTGGTCACCTTTGGCACGAATTATGGCCTTCAAACGGCCTATAAAACTGTCACACGCTGCCCGAATGTTGCTCTGCGGTATTTTGGTCCATTCCCGGCGAAGCGCTTACCTAAGGTCATCGACACTTTGGTATTTTTAGTGCCAACCATGCTTTCCAAAATTCACCAGACTCAAGAGTCCAATAGATTGGTTTTTTGGTGGTCATTGTGCGCTGGAAATGAAGCGAGGAACCTCATTTTGTAACCATTCTTGGATGGCGCGTGCTGAGTGCGGTGGTGCTGAGTCCTGTTGGAATGTCCAAGGTCTGCCAAAATGTTTGCGTGACCAAGATTTTAATACACCCTCCAGAATATTTTCGCGATAATATTCGGCATTTATTCTGATGCGACGGTCGATTAATACTAGCGGAGAGCGACCATCGGCTGTTATGGCGGCCCACACCATCACCATGGCCGGCGCTTGAGTTCTGTTGGCCAACCGAAGGGGCACATTTTCAGCTGACCTCTTTGGCAAGTAAAAACCATAATTTTGTCTGTTTACAAACTGCTTGACAAGGAATGTTTTCTCATCGGAGAAAACCAAATTCGGCAGTTCAACACTTTCGGCCAAGCGAAAGTGTTCAACACTTTCGGCCAAGCGAAGCAACTCTTTAGCGCTTTTGAATCCATATTCTTTCTGTTGCGGTGTAAGTTCTTGGACTTTTTGAAATTTCAATGGCTTTACCCCGAGCTCATTTTTCAATGTATGACGAATGGAATATTGCGATATGTTCAGTTCACGTGCCTTTTTGCGGCCACTGCGACTCGGGTTTCGATCAAGTCGCTTCTTTACTTTTCGAACCATTTCTGCTGATGTTGCAGTTTTCTTCCGTCCACTTCCTTGAGACACAATAGATTTATTTACATTTAAATGCTGGAGTGCTCTAACGATAGCCACTTGTAATCACACTAACACACTTGTATTCCATCACGAATAATTTTTTTTCTGAAAAATGTTTACCAAAATTCTTTTGTACGACGCTTGTAAACATTATAATGAGCTGTCACTGGAATAATTTTAACAGCTGTCGGACGAGTGGCTTATAAATGACAGCAGTCTTAAGTTGGTTGCAGTTGTTTCATCTCACCCTGTATATTCTTTAGTCTATGTTTGTAACATGTTCACACAGCCATTTAACCAATATCCAACACGCCTTTTTTCAAATACAATGCAAAGCATATTTCAGAGCGCATAGGAAATATGAAAAACATCTCACAGCACTCAAAAGTAATCTGCCCGAACGCCATCTATTGCCTATATGATTCATAAAAGCAAACAAACAATTTTTTCGAGGGAAATAAAATCATATTTAAAAAAATATTTTATTTTGTTATTTATTATTTCTTATCAAGTACTTAAGAACTATTTACATTTATTTGTTACGTTGTGTATGTGTAAAAAAGTTATTTTTTTTAAAACCTTGGTTGTATACATCTACGGATGTAAAATACAAATATAAAAAATATATTAATCTAAAATCTATGCTTTCATAATGATCCATATGAACCATCTCCTTTGGTAGAACATTTTTTTTAAATGATGCTTAAAAAATAACTTAATAGCTAACATTAAGGATAAAACTACTAATAGTCTAATTTGCCTTGAGCTCCAGTTATTATGGCATCAATCCATATTCTAGCCGCAGCATCTGAGGCTGCCAGTAGTTGATAGCTGCGTTTTTTAGTCTTAACAATGAATGTGCAGTGGGGTCGGCCACTCTTTGAGATATTTAAATGATCCAAATAGACTTCTTCGATGGTCTGGAGGGAAAAAGAAAACGGGAAGAATAAATTGATAAATTGTTTTAACAAAGAAAAACAATATAAAACATAAAAACAATGTGAATATTCTAAATCTAGATTTTACCAAATTAAAGAGGCTTTAAGAGATTCGGTGTTTTCAAAGATTTAATTGCAAAATAACCTAAGTTCCCTCCTCTTCCACATTTATGGAAATATTCGGATTAAGATTCCTTTGGATTCGTGCAATGTAGGCATATAGTGTCTTAGGCAATAGATAAAGATACCAACTAATTTTAGTTATTGCGAGGGTCTTGGCCATATTTTCCCATCGATTTCAAAACGCTGCGTTTTCTACTTTTAGTTCTACTTTCAAAACCTATTGGATTTCTTTGCAAAATATTTGTTGTGTTACATAGTGTTATAGAGACCTTTTGATATGTATTTTCATTTATAGCCTGGTATCCTACACTAAAGAAAACCCCGTAAGAGTATGCTACTCTATGAAACCGCCTAAGGGACCTTCTGTTCTACGGAAGTCCTCTTAAGGGTTGTTGTTGCTGTAACGGCAATATGTGTTGGTCCTGGTTCTAATTCAAAATTTGAAAACTAAGCTACTTAAACAGGTTCTAACCAAACACCTTCAGGAGTGAGTTGGGTAGGTTTTGTGTGCCTGACGGTACTACGAGAGTGTAAATGTTACTCAGATCTGCCTAAAAGGCTATTTGATCCACAGGCTTTCTCTTATAAAATTGGATTTCCGTTTCCATATCGTGTAGGTCCTTCCCGACACTGCTAGCTGGGGGAGTTTTATTCAACATATGATGTTTTGTAAGACTGCCACGGTAGCACCCTATCCATCCAATCCAAAAACTACTTTATACTTGACTACTCTTTTATTTTCCTTCAAGAGGATCTTCTATTCTATAGATCCTATAAAAACCCTCAAAGGGCTTCCATAGAATAAAATACTTGTAAGACAACTTCTGTAGAAAGAAATACCCTTAAGAAGGCTTTTATGGAATAGAAGACGCCTTTTGCAGTTTTTATAGACGAGAAGACCTTTGAGTGGACTTCCATAGACTAGAAGATGTTTTTTTTTAGAGAAGCCATTCTTCTATTCTACAGGTGAACTTAAATCCTAATCGAAACCTCTCACTTGTCTATAAAGAGGGCATTTCAGAGTCTTTAACGGTTGTTCAATCCTTTGGAAGCCATATAAATAATTCCTACTTTTAATTAGAAGCTATTTTGAAGGTCATTTGTAATATCAAAAATCTATTAAAGGTTTTATGTCTTCTGAAGAACTTACCGAAAAATAAGCACCTCCACGAGGTTTCCTCTCCAATTTATCGGAATAGTAAATGAAAGCATTACGCGTGCGATCTAAAACAAACCAACGTTTCGACCAGCCATGAAAAGTGGCACCCAATTTATGAAGGTAACTGGAAAATTAGAAAAAAAAAGAATAAATAAACATTTAAATAGTTTGCTGATGTTTAACTTACCCCCTACACGTGTGAGAATCAACAAAGACGTGTGGACACAAGTCGATTTGATGACCCGCAGATTCGATATGTTGCCGCAAATCTAAATCTGGTGAAAATATTGGCAGATATCTTGTTAGGGGTCTCTGATGTTTGGGTAAAGCAGAACGTTTACGTTCACTACTGCTGCCTCCCTCTTTTGGCGATTGATCTCCCCTTAATTGCTGGCTGCTGCTGTTCGCATCAGCTGAGTTGAGACTCTCCGGTCGTTTGGCAGTGTTACTGTCTGTATTAGCATTGCTATTATTGTTATTAGATCCATTAAAGGTGGATAGTTCAATATTCGATTTGCTTGTTTGATTTGTTGTTAACAGTTCACAACTCAACTCAGAGTTCGCTTCGGATAGCGGTCGCGAGGAGGTACTGTGACGTTTTGCTGGTTCCGAATGCAAATGATTCGTTTCAAATTCAGGCTGTGAGTGACGTTGCTAAGAAAATTAGAGAAAGATAAACAAAGAAAAGGGGAAAGTTATTATTAGAAGTATTAGGCTAAAAATAATTAAAGGTTAATTTTTCTTTTTTGTTTGTGTTTTTAACCAAGTGGCGAAATTTATTAATAACAAGCAAACGTACTCAGGCATACCATCCTAAACGCCCGCCCACTAATATCTGGTAATACATTTGACAGAAAAAAAATAAAATAAACAACAACAACTGAAATAACATGCACATTCTACACTGTTTTCAAACGAAACATTTTTCCTGTCCTTTTTTCTCGGAAAATTAAAATGCATTGGAGCGCAAAGAAAAACATAAACATTGTGAGTCTTGGAGGAAATTGGACTGGAACTTTTTGTGAAATATTGTCACAGGTTCAACAGTTTCCTATTTAATTTAAGATGTGCGTCGAGGTAGCGTATAAGTTTGGTTATATATATTTCATAACTCGACAAGATTTGTTATTTTTAAGGTGTTAATTCGACCGGTGAGACATTTGATTGCAGTTTTCCCAAAAATATTTAATTTGGACTGTTTAGAGACTGATAGGCGAGCTTTTCCATATAACTATAAATAATTGTTCATTTTTGGGTCGTGGGCGGCTAAAATAACTTATATTACGAATTATGTTTTTAAATACGTTTCACTGAAGCATGGACATTGAATAGAAAAGTCTTTTGTAACGTATTTACTATATGAACAGGTGTTACTCAGGGGTTTGGTCACACGAGGTAGCACTTGACGAAGTCGAATTTTTGACTTTAAGTCGTAAAATTTTAAGTTATGTTTGTCTTCCCGCCTGTTTTAATTTCCTTGTTTGTTATAATCTTTGTTCTGAACATAGATCAAGCTTCAAAAAAGGAGCTATTCAGCTCACGTTTTGGCTTCACTATGTGTGACGATACCAACCTAAGTTTTTCAACTGAGTTTTTGAGGGGTTTATCAAGATTTTCAATTTAATTGTAACAATTTGGTATGAGAAGCTTTTAATGGTCAATAGAGGTCAATGTTTTTGGTATAAGGGTACCCCCGGTTATTCGTCTGCATGGATTTCGGTTAATTGTTAACCTTCTTCAATGTAGCACTTATGAAAAGTCATTTGGAGTGAGCACTCATATATTCGGTTTGAGCACCTTTTATTATAATTTTCTACCGATTTACATGGGATTCTAAAATTTTTTATATCGACTCTGTCATTTTCAAGTATCTCATTTTCCTAATGGCCTGACTGAAGCTACGCCTTTTATGTTTTATTTTTTTATGAAATGAACGTTTTAGACCCCATGTCTCTTTAGACGAAAATAAAAATTTCCACAAATCATTTGCTTGAACCAGGATGAATTTTTATTGAAATTGGTGGTTAACGGCCCAAATTTAGATAAATCTCCCATGTATATCTTCATACGATTTCAATTTTATTGTGCGACGAATTCAGCCCAATAGCAAGTGTGTCAAAATTGGGTGGTTCTTATAAGAATGATAATCATAAGAATGGTTTTTATACCCTCCACCAAAAAAAGTATGGAGGGTATATTAAGTTCGTCATTCCGTTTGTAACTCATCGAAATAATCATTTTAGACCCAACAAAGTATATATTCTTGATCAGCGTAAAATTCTAAGACGATTTAGCCCTGTCCGTCCGTCTGTCCGTCTGTTGTAACCACGCCACAGTCTAAACTAATTAAAATAGGAAGCTAAAATTTTGCACAGATCTCTCTTTTGTCTGCAGGCAGGTCAAGTTCGAAGATGGGCTATATCGGTCCAAGATATCGTATAGCCCCCATATAACGGTACCCCCGATATTCGGTATTTTGATGATTTTAGCCATATTTTTCAATGGTATTGTCTGAAATTCCACAAAAGGAGTCCCTTGTGGACATTTTACCCCTTCAAAAAGAATTGTCTATATATGTCCACGATATCGTATATCCCCCATATAACTGTACCCCCCGATATTCGGTATTTTGATGATGTTAGCCACACTTTTCAATGGAATTGTCTAAAATCCCCACAAGTAGTTCCTTGTGAGTACTTCACCCCCTGAGAGAGAATTGTCTATACAGGTCCACGATATCGTATATCCCCCATATAATGGTACCCCCCGCTATTCGGTATTTTTATGATTTTACCCACATTTTTCATCGGAATTGTCTGAAAATCCACACAAGGAGTTCCTTGTGGGTATTTTATACCTCGGCAGAGAAGTATCTATATAGGTCCACGATATCGTATAGCCCTCATATAACGGTACCCCCGATATTCCGTATTTTGATGTTTTTAGCCATATTTTTCAACGGAATGGCCCAAAGGGTTCTTTGTACACAAGGGGTTCTTTGTGAGCACTTTACCCCCCGACATAGAAATCTCTATATAGGTTAACGATAACGTATAGCTCCCATATAACGATACCCCGCTATATTCGGTATTTTGAAAATCCACACAAGGAGTTCCATGTGAGTACTTTACACGCAGACATAGATTTGTCTTTGTAGGTCCACAGTATCGTATATCCCCACATATTGGCACCTTCTTATATTAGATATTTTAAAGATTTTAAAAGAATTTTTAATGGATTTTATTTTTTTTTTTTTGAAAATTTTCTAATTCGTTCCAAATGGTGGAGGGTATTCAAAGTTCGGCCCGGCCGAACATACTGCTTTTTTACTTGTCTGTACTAGATACGTGATCGTTTCGGATACCAATCCGTTGGACTATTGTGTCTGGAGTATTTTGGAAAGAAAGGTTGGCACTAAAAAATACCAAAGAATCGATCACCTCAAGCAAGTTGTTTGCACCAAATTGCCTTAAGAATGTAGCACAGTGTTGTACAAGCCATGACTTACAAGGATTTTCATTAACACACAAAGAGCTTAAACTTCTTAAGAAGATACTCTATCAAAAGAGGACGTTTATCTGTAATTCATGACAGTTTCGATCGGGTCTATTTTTCTCACATATCCTAGATGGAATAGCCAATAGCTATTGTTTTTTTTTTTTTTTTTTTTTTTTTTCTCAGAACCATTCACACTTTCCTATCCCGGATGCTCAACAATCCATCACAGTCTTTAAAAAAGTTTCCGAGGAAACGGTGTTGTTTTCACTGCCAATATATTTTACGCAAAATAAACAGCAACAGACACACAAACAAACATTATGACCTAAATACTTTGACATTCTGTGCAAAAATTCCAATTCCACTACATATACACAATTTGCACTCAATAATTGTCAATTTGAATAACAAACAAAAACATCCCAAAGAAGATTATTATTTATTAGATTCCAGATCACTTGACTTTGTTACACTTTCACTGGCACATGAACTATTCAATTTTCATTCTGTCCGTCCCAATATCTATGATTGACCGAACTTACTAAAATAATAATGTGGTGATGATGATGATGACAACAATTTTGTTGTTGTTGCTGCTGATGAAGATTACAATTATGTTGTTCTGGCCGCCGTCTCTTTACATAGTTCAACCAAGAGGGCATTACAGGAGCAAGAGGCATTGCTGTTAAGTAACACACAGAGACACAACAGACAACCAACAATTTCAATCAGCCACTGTCCACCCACAATTCGAACAACACAACGAGGGGAAGAAATCAAAGATAGATGCAAAACACCCAACAATTTCGAAGCGGCGAACAATTTATGTGACCACCGCCACGAACACTTTCTGGTCACAGACTAAATTATCAACGAAAATCACCAACACTTATCCAGTTCTTAAGAGCATCATCATCATATTTTTCGATATGAATGTCGTCAAGAATTTCCCTCGCAAAGACACATACATTTTGCCAGCAACATTTTCTTCATGAGAAATTAACATTTTCTTTTTTGCAACATAGAAATCATCAACAAACCAACCAGACGCAAATGACAAGCAATCAGAAGATGAAGTTTGAATTGAAATTAATTAGCAAAGGCTAGATAAATTAACTGTGAACTTTTGTTGCAGAATTTAAATGCTAAATTAATTTTTCTGGACCTACATTAAAAAAATTCCATTTAACCAATTCAATGCAAAAGATACCAATGGAATACACAAACCAGAGCTAAAATTGGTTAGTTTTTTACTCGAGAGAAAAAATTGTTCGTGTGCGAGAGTGCTAAAAGAGTAGGGGTTTTACATGGATTTTAATCTCCAATCTTTTGTTGTATGTAGGAACGCTTGTGAGGTACTTCAATTTGAAAAATAAGACTGGAAGTCAAAATTCTCGATATACAGAGTGAGATGAAAAAACTGCACCCAACTTCAGACAACTGTCATTTCTAAGCCACTTGTCTGACAGCTGTGACAGCTCATTATATTGTTTACAAGGGTACAAAAGCAATTTGTTGAGAATTTTCCAGAAAAAAATTATTCGTGACGGTATTCAAGCGTGATAGTGTGATTTCTTTATATTTGGCTGGAAATCCCCAAGTGATCATTGTTAGGGCACTCCAGCATTTAAATGTGAATAAATCTTTTGTGTCTCGTACCATCGCTCGTCACCGTGATACTGGTAGCGTAACCCGACGTCAAGGAAGTGGACGGAAGAAAACAGCAACATCGGCTGAAATGTTTCGAAAAGATAAGAAGCGACTTGATCGAAATCCGCGTCGCATTGACCGAAAAATGGCTCGTGAGCTAAACATATCGCAATATTCCATTCGGTAAATATTGAAAAATGAACTTGGGGTAAAGCCACTGAAATTTCAAAAAGTGCAAGAACTTACACCGCATCACAAAGAAAATAGACTCTAAAGAGCTAAAGAGTTGCTTCGCTTGGCCGGAAGTGGTGAACTGCCGAATTTGGTTTTCTCCGATGAGAAAACATTCGTTGTCCAGCAGTTTGTAAACAAACAAAATGATCGTGTTTACTTGCCAAAGAGGTCAGCTGAAAATGTGAACCTTCGGTTGGCCACCAGAACTCAAGCGCCGGCCATGGTGATGGTGTGGGCCGCCATAACAGCAGATTGTCGCTCTCGGCTCGTAT